TGTTGCGCACCCCGGTGTTTCACGATTATAGTGTGAAATACAACCTGTTGTAGCTTGATGTTACACTAAGAAATGTTGCGCACCCCGGTGTTTCAGGATTATGGTGTGAAATACAACCTGTTGTAGCTTGATGTTATACTAAGAAATGTTGCGCAAATGTTGTCCCGGTGTTTCACGATTATGGTGTAAGACAAGACAAGACCCAATTTTAATGAGATGTTACACTAAGAACCAGCCTTGTTCTTGATTGTGGTGTGGGACAAGACCAGACAACCTACAGCATTTCGCAAAGTTAACTGTATCATTATCAAGTTGAAGTACTTACACTCGTTAATTTCATAGCTAGCGTCGAACCCTTTAAACGTGGCCTTCGAGTCTGAATGGAATCGAATCCACATAGAGTTACCTTCGGAGTAGATGACCTGATTCGTTTTAGCTTTACAGTAATTTCCCTGCAGCGAACTACTCCCTGACATACCATTCCTGATTTGTAAATAGTCAGACTGACAAGTGTCTGAAGGTGGCCCCAGATCAATGTCATTTAAGGTCAGCTTGATGCGTTTCCCGGGCAGTCCTTTAATCTTCCACGTACATTGCAACTTATTGGGATAATTGCCTGGATAATATGGACTGCGCAGAAAACCACGGTGGTCTGACAGCTGAAGATCGTTGTTGGTTGAGGCATTGTTGAGGGGCGAGCAGATTCGAGGAACTGGTGGTAACAATAAGAAAAATGAGAAAATTAACAAATTGTATTTACTTTTGAATGGCCTGTACTCTTTTTGAGCATACGATGGTGCAATCAAATGATGCAAACTCAAGTGGAACTACAAGTGCAAGGAAAGAAATCAAGGAGAAAGTATTTAAGATGTAGCTCTTTAACTTGAAGCTCTCTTTCTTAAGTAGAACTTATTTTGTCGAAAGTAATAACTGTCTTTGGTTTCAATTTGAAAACAATCTCATATATGCGGTAATGGGCGATAAACTGATATACTAATGAAAAGGAGCCGTCCAAATATGTCAAAAGTTGAAACGCTGAAAGCATCCAATTCTGAAGTTGTTCCATCGTCGCCTCAAAAGAATATGAAGTACTTCATATTCTCTTGGTCGCCTTCATTATCAAGAGCAAAATTTTGCCTCATGTTAACAAAATGTTTAGCCTGAGATTTTTTTTTGCTTTTTTTATCCCATTTCCAATCTGCGAGTTGCGTCTTCTATTGCGCCTATTTCTGCAATACTATTAAGTCCAAAGGACACCTTGTGATGCCACCGCATGGCAAAGCTTTTTTAAATAAGTCCCTGCACAATCTTATGTAATCCGGGGTTTCCCTTTAAACTTAGAAAAGACGCATATTTCTGTAAAAGAAAACCCACGGAGGACATCATGTTAAACAGAATGACTTACTGTTCGCGATAGATTCATAAGACGCACTGAAGCCTTTATAGCTATTTTGCTTGCTGACAAATTGCACCCAAAGTGAATCACTTGCGTAAATGACCTACCAAATAAAAAAAACAGAATTCTATAGGACTGGCAAAACGTTGTATTTTCACTGTTGTAAATCCTATAAGCAGGGTAGCTGGTTCATTTATGGGGGCAAATGCCAGTTATGCATGTGAGTTGATTTTGTTTGGTGAGTTGTTCTCTTTTCTCCCTTGCCACGAGTTTTTTCTCCAGGTTTTATGGTTTTATGATAAGTTGAATGCTTAGAATACTGTTGTATGCCTGAGAACTAATTTCAATTTCAATTTCAATTTCAATTTCAATTTCAATTTCAGTTTCAGTTTCAGTTTCAGTTTCAATTTCAATGCTGATGGTTAGAGTAGAAGAAAAGGAAAGCATGCAGGGATTGGTAGAGCACACAAGATAAATGTTAGGACTTCCTAGCACTTCTCGAATGGTGCTTTCTAACTTCACACAGTACAGCAATCAAGTTTTTAAATTTCTTTTATAAAATAAAAATCATAATGGCTGTTATATTGGACACTAATGAAAAACTAGAAAGTGATGCGCATGCTGTGTGCTCTCATAATACATGTGCTCCCAACCAATCAGAACATGAGATTTATAACAGTTAGTTAATTCACACTTCCAGACATTAATATTTTTTTTTCACACCTATCAGAGAGCCTGCGTAATTCATGCTTATGTTTATGCTTGTGTTGCAAGTGTATAAAACTAGGCTTACGATTGGGCCATTGACACCACAGAATGAGCCAACCAGTGTACCAGCAGCTGTTGTTCCTCTTCGTACTTCCAAATGGTCAGTGTCTTGACATGAATAAGAAGTGGAAGGCTTAAGGTGAAAGCCTAATGTTGAAAACTGCAGGTGTTGACCTTTTAATGGAGTTATAACCCAGGTACAGCGCTTGTTACTTGGATAGTTGAATGGGTAGTTTGGACTTAACAGAGTACCTCCCTGTCCAGACATTTCGTTTGATGGGTTACTATCAGTACAAGGACCAGATGATTCTGGAAAATAAGGTATTATAGGGGGTAGTTGAGAGTGACTACCTGCCCAAATATCTAGTTCGATTATTTACTATCTGTACAAGGACTGGTTGATGGTTGATTCAACAGAACCAGGTAAAGTATTAAATATTATTTGATAACATTTTGAGCAAACTTTGATACCATAAACTAAATATAGCCTGTGTGCATCCAGTCTTTTATCTGCCAGCGTTTTCAACATTAGGCTTCAACCTCTGAAAGAGTATAAAGACGGGATGCACGCAGGCCAACTACATGTAAATGCAGCCCAACTTTAACTCTCTGCTTATAAACAGACCAAATTTAAAACAGGGTCAATAAAAGTTGAGACGGATGCAGGATATCAGTGACAGCAGAGAACATTTGGACAGTAAAGCATAAACCATTGGTGTTTCAATGGAATTGATGGGCAAGTGTCATTGAATAGTAATTATTTGTCAGCAATTAGTGGCATAAACTTCTCAACCATTTGTCAGTTAGGTGATGATGGATTATTGGCTGTATAATGGCGGACAACCAACCATTAAACGACCAACACTGGTCAATGGAAGTGCTATTTTTTAACAACACTTGAAACAACAATTATCCAGAATTAAGTGATTTCCAAATCTGTCATGCTTGAGAATAAAGTTGTTTTTTTGATTCTCTCCTTTTCTTGAAGATTTTCCTCAATCGATTTTAATTTACAGGAGAATTGAAGACACCTACATGTAGTAAAACCACTAGTTTTAAAATCTCCTATATTTCCAGTGCTTCATATATTAATTTTGCTTACTTTGTTTTAGTATTTGATATCTTGCTACAAACCCATCACGAGGATCTTTGCTGTAATATGCCGTAGCTACAAAGTGAACTGTTAGCCCAGAGGTAATAGAATAGATAGTTCTAGCACTTGCAATTGTTCCACAGTATTTCCCCAGGTTTATACCAGAATGGAAAGCACCATCAGAAAGTTCCACAAAATCAAGTTCGCAATCAGGAACTTTTATCAAGGAAAAGGAAGAGAATTCAACTTTGACAATGTAGCCTGGTGGGGCAACAATTTTCCATGTGCAATCAGTAAATCGGGGATAACCATGGTGCAAAGAAGAGTATGGTGTATTAAACATTCCTTGGGATTCTTTAAATATGATATTGTGGTTGCCATCATCAGTAAAGTCTGCAGTACAGAATGAATCTGAAATAATACAATCAAATTGATAATAGTGAAACAGTGCAGACAGAACTGAGAAATATAGGTATCAGATTATCCAAACCCTACCCTGTGAGGAGAGGTTGTTTTTCTTCCCCTCTGTAGGGTTGATTGGCAGGCTTATCCAAAACTGAATCATTAAAAGACCTCTGCAAGCAGGTTCGACTATACCCACAATTGGAAATAGTAAACAATATGATCTCTAAATTGGTGTCGGTAGGGTTTTGGCAATTATCAATGAGAAAAAACACTATATAATTTGTCAAACATGGAACAAGGGAGAGTAGGCACTTTTAACAGCTAAGCCTCAAATGATTAATTGTGATCAACTAATCTATTTACTCAATTGTTGTCCATCATTGTCAATATTGGCCGATTTTTAAAAGCCTTTAAGGAAATAAGGGCCAAGCGTTGGTTAGCTGGAGAGTTGTAGAATGTTACCCTTATTAAGTTCCCTGCTAGCAGGGTCTACTTTTCATTCCATTTTTGTTTCTATTTTTCCCTCCTCCTCCCCTAAAGAAGGGACAGAAAGAGGAGTGACTTTGCTCACAGGGAACCCTTATACTTGTTCTTGCTGTTGCTGGGGAGCATAATGGCAAGAGAAAGGAATTATAGTATCACCATTACAAAAATACAATGTTTAAAACGTAACTTACCGTGGCGGACAGCATAGACACCAGCCAAGAAAGTCACATGAAAATTAATAGGGGTTTTTTTGAAATAAAATTTAACAAACATATCTGTTCCAATACTGTAGATTTTATCAGCATCCAAGCATTGATCAGAAGTACACAATTTGCTGAGCAGAGGACCTATAAAAAATATTATTGAATATTATTAAATGACTTTCAAAAAAAAAATCAAAAAATATTTTTATCTTTAAGTAATCTAGAGATCCTTTTTTTAATTTTAAAGCAAGGAAAGATCCAGGGGTGGTAAAAGGGGTGACTAGTCACCCCCTTTTGCTCAAATTTCTCAGTATATCGTTAGTAACAGTCACCCCCCTTTTCCTCAAATTCCTGGAAAAACCTTCATTATAGTACTAGTCATCCTGGCCCCTTCTAAAATTCCTGGATCCACCCCTATAGAGTAATCTAGCAGGCCCTTTTATTGATAATCTGCTTCCCTTTTATTGATAAAAAATAAAGGTTATTTATACCTGATTCATTTCTTCCTTCTCTGGCCTCAAAATAATAATAGCTACAATTATATAATTCATTGCAGCCTTTAAACTGAGCAAACTTGATCTTGACAAAATATCCTGGAGGGGCAGTTATTTTCCAATGACAGGTGATATTATCATCATCAGTCAAGTTATGGTATATGCGATTAGTATCAAATGCAATTATAGACTGGAAACCAGGTTTGGCTAACAATGCAAAGCTTGTATTGCCAAGTGTACATCCTAAAGAAAAGAAAATCTTAATGAAATTATCAAAAACATAAATAATTGGAATCAATTATGCTTACACTAATAAATACAATAACATTCAAACAATCATGAATTTCAGGGCATTGATTTAGTGATAATGATAATAACGATGATGGATGAATGATGATGATGATGATAATGATAGCAATCCTAATACTTTTACTTTGCTGTTAGGAAATTCTTATAACAGAGGACACTTTTCCATGGTGTTTGTTTCTAAACTTTGACTAATTTTCTTTGGTACTTACTTGCATTGTCCCCAAGTTTAAATGCAGACACACCTTCAAGCAACAAAACTACTGAGCATGCGCACACTAAAAAGAAAAAAATCAGAGTAAATATTTAGAAATCCCTACTACTTGGGGATCAAAACTATGATGAAACATTCCTCATTCCTCAAGAGGATATATGCCTCATTTGAAAGGAACAGAAAATTAGTTTAGACTAAACCTATCAAAGTCCTCTCTGATTGGCTGAGCTACTAGTGGTCCATAATGTGTAGTTCCAAAAATTATCCATACCCACCTCATGGAGGAATTTTTTTAAGACACCCCGCTACCCCCTGGAAATTCCAATTTTCTTCCATACAAACTCTGTAATTTTTGTTCTTTGTCTGACCCCCTACTCTTTGGAAATTCCAAATCCCTCTGTGGGGCGGGTATGGATGATTTCTGGAACTACACAATTAGTGATAGACCATGAGTAGTCAAGAGCCAGTTTTGAAAACCAAACCAGTGGCAGCTAACTCCCACTTTCAACCAAATTTTTGTTGTATCCATTTACTTGGCCAATTATTATTATAAGTAGGTTTAGATTAAATCAATTAGACCTCTCACTCTCAGGGTCTATAAGTCCTCATGGGCGATGGACACAAAGACCATGATCAGGGCTTCTGGTCTAAATTACTGTTAATTAGACCAAAGATAGAGACATGTGGATAATTATCTAAAGTGCTAATAAAATGTCTCTATCATTGCAAGTTCACTGCTGTCCTTGCTTCAATGACACATACCTTTTAAGACGGAGCAGAAAATTGTGAAAGGGGCTATTCCTCTCCGCTCCCCTCCCTCCTCTCCCCTCCCCTCCCCTCCCCTCCCTTTGAGGGTTTGATAGCATCTATGGCCAAATGATATCCAGTATCACTATAGACCGTTTTTCGATGAATTCTATCACAATTCTTACGCTTGTATTTCCATGTGATCGCAAGATTCACTCAACACGTAATTTTTTGTGATTGCAGCCATATGCGATCCAAGATTATATGAGATTATAGTGGGTCCACCGCCATCCTTTACATGTGACCTGTAACCTTCATTACGAAACAAAGAATGTATGTGTATTCCAGCGCGATCAAGGGCCGTGATACTTGCTCTGTAAATCATTATTGTTATAGAAAGCGCCAGCTTTTATAAATTGCAAGCAGTATTTCCTTATTTTGCACAATTTGAGATGTTCAATGGTTACAGTGTGTAATGAATAAAATAATGACATCCTATACAAAAAGTGCATCGACAAGAACAGTTCACTTACGAATGAGAAATGATAATCCTGTACGCTCCATGTCGTTATCAAAGAGCCAAAGAAGCAAAGGACGCCTAACCAAACGAATATTAACGGTGCCTAAATCTCAATATCAACCCAGTACCATCAGGCGACGAACTCAGTTCAAATGCAATGAACTTTGCAGGCTTTGCATGCATCGGGGTATCATGATCAACTGAGGAATGTGACCCGGGCCGCACTGACATCTACCATTTGACAGACCACGCAACCGATCGATATGACTGACTGTATATCATGTTATTCTCCAAGCAGGATGAACAGATAGTTAGCTCAGGGTTTCATACGGGAAAATATAAGGGTAGCCCTAAATGATGTCTGTTGAAGCTCTATGTAGGGGTAGTTGGGTCAGGGCCTTCAGACATTATGCCGTGGCCAGTATTTAAAGATATTGCCGGTATCGTTTTTTCTGATTGAGAAGGCTGTAATATCCCTAGTCCATACGGTCTGGATGTTGTCCAAGGTTTATAGCCCTAGCAACGAGTTTACAAGACAAAAAGAAACTGAACACTAAGAATGGCTGTGGGAGAGACTAACGGTTAAGACCTTACACAATTTTAAAGTCGTTCCGCCGCCTATAGTAAGGAGGCGATCGGAAAAAAATACGAAACTTTAAATACGAAACGAAATACGAAATATTTTCATGCGTAAAATTTAGATTAAACCCTTGCTTTGGATGGATGTGTTTCCATGTGTTATTTTTGTCGAGCTTCCCGGCGTGTCTCTAGCTCGATCCAATCCATCGATCCAATCCAATAGATGCGATCCAGTGTTTAATTTTCTTTGATTTGTCGCTTTGTATTTTGAGCGTTCAAAAAGCCAGCTAACAGCATCGGGTAAACAACATCGTATCTTGTAAGTAAACCTTTTTGTATCACCCTTTTAGAATAGAACAAACAGCGTTGTTCTAATGTTAAAAGTGATAAAGTAAGCCAACAGTTAGGATGATATTGCTCTAACTAGGAACCATGTTCAGGTCTTGTAACGATCAATTTGTATAATACTAATCTTTGATCAAACTGTAAACACAAGTAGCTTTGTGGATATCCTAGTTTCTCCTTTTCAGTCTAATCTAGATTTTTATCTAAGTTTTTACGACAAATTCCTTTCGACAACCTTTTTATTTTCTTTTTTACATCCACATTTAGGAGACTCTATGGCGGGTGATATTTATCAGGGGGCGAGCAATGCTTTGTTTTGTTTGTGGTTGAGGGCGGTTTATGTAAGTGACTTAAGCAAAACATCCAATTTATTTCTAAAACATCATATGAAATTGTAAGAAAAGAGTTTGATAATGTTGACATTATTGAGGGTTGGGTAATCATTTTACAGCTGTAAAGGATCATGCACTTGTGTAACGTACCTCATATTTTGTAATTAGGATAATTAACCGTGACTGAGATCATTGAAGATCCATCGTGATCACCGAAGATGAGTGATGATGAAGATGTAGTGCTCTGCAAGAGGGACAAGAACAAACCCTATGACTTGGTTGTAATTGTACTGCGAAGCTACTACCCAGAACTTGCTGATGATCTCGATGTGGAGGAGGCTGCGAAGACAGCACCAGATCAGAATGTTCAATTACTGGCCAAGAGAGGGAAGAAGTTTGAAGTGCTTGGTCCTGTAGGATGGTGGTTATATGTAAAGAGCCTAGACACTGGGGAGACTGGATACATACCAAGTATAAATGTTGCTCCTATTACTGATGATCTTAGCTGTGAAGAGTAAGAAAAATATTTGTTATAAAACCTGCATAAATATAATTCAGGAGGGGGAACTCACTGAAAATTTTAGGACTAGAGTCCCACTGATATCCATGCAAGCTCCCCACAAAACTTTGTCATCCTTCTCTTATCCTTAGCTAACACAAGAAAAATACATGCACGTCATTCGTATAACCAAATGAGAGAAACAAAAACTGAGGAAAAGTCACTATAACCCCTCCTTCACAAATCACAATAAAATATTTTCAATATTTAAGAAATAGGAATCATCCAAATATCCTGGATGCTCTATTTTTTGTAATTTGTCAAAATGGGATTGCATGTACATAAAATACAAATTTCCAGCTTACCCTTGATACAAGAGAAGTGTTTATCAGGTTCTTGTTTTCTTGTAAACAAAAGTAAGTAAATGAGCTAACAAATACTAATCTCTACTCTTGGCTTAAACAAATGCTGGATTGTTTGATGTTGCAGTTGATAACTGTGATCATTTTGATGGCTGTGCCCATCTTTCTGTTTAGCTGCTTGAATTGAGAAGCCATTTGATTATAATGATGATTGTTATACCATTTTATTGCACTGTACTCTTATTGGATGAGCAACATTTAGATAGGAAGCCATCTGACTGCAATTGGTGATGTTTGGATGGGAAGCCATTTAACAGTCATCAAATAATGATGAACTGCATTCTGTTTATTTTGACAGTGAAATTGAGTTGAATCGTGGTGGAGAGCTTTCACCAGAGATGGTCAGTAAGAATGTTGATCTGAAGTACTTTCCTCTTGCACCAGTGGAGAAGGATTTACTCAATCGGGTAAGATTCAACATCAGAAAATACATTTACAAGAAGCCTGAAATGAAAAAAAAAGATCAGATTTCATTACTACAAAAAGACATGCATACCTGGGGGGGGGGGGGGG